CACACACACACACACACACACACACACACACACACACACACACACACCACACACAAACACCCACACCCCCCAGACTCAAGTATTGGTGGTGCTGTTTGGGGGAAAATCAGCGATTTCTTGTGCAAACTGCCTTGGTCATGGTGTCTGTCACAACAAAGAAAGGTAACTAGACCTTCAGCCACCATTCTTCTCCCCGCTGATCTCAGACATTCCACACAAGAGCACAACATCCAACACACACACCACACACACACAAACATGCACACCCCCAGACACACCCCAGACACACACCCCCACACACCACCTACCACCCACCCACACATACACACCCGCACACTCACACCACACACACACACCCGGACACACTACACACACACACACACACACACACACACACACACACACACACACGGGCACTCTGACCAGGTATCTCTGCTGGGTCTCTTTCTGGAGATTGCCACACTTGCTGAAGAATCATACCTGTATGCCAACAGGCAGACTCACACAGTCCTGAAAGGCCTTTCGAGGAAACATCAGCATGATATAGATATAAAGATTCAATTAAGATAAATCCCCAAATAACTTCATGTAGATCTGGGTGACAAAACCAAGTTAAGACTAACTAAAATAAGAACACTTTTTCACAGATAAACATCTGGAGGCACTTCAGCCTCCAGAAATAAGAATGATTTTGTAAATCATAATTATCATCATTGATGCATATGGTTTCCATATAATATTGAAGGTCCAATGCATTTCAACTAAGTTGCCACATCTAATGACACATTTAATTGCTACATCCACGGCTGTCTCGCCAGTGTAGCAGAAATGCTGACTGGATGGGCAAATATTGCCGGTGGGTGTGGGATTTGTGCTTCTAGGAGCTGTGTGTTCCAGGTGGTCCCTTGGCAATCAGTTGTGGTGTAATGCTACCTGAGTCGCCATTAGTACTGACTCGACCCGGCTGTCCTTGGAGCCATATGTCTGTCTTTTCCCCTTGTCTGTATGTTCTTTGTGATTTTTGCATATTGCTAACAGATCAGACTATTACAGGCAGTTGCGGATACAAACAAGACTGCTAAGGACATTTTTGAATTCTGCTCCGCTATTAATTAAAGCCTTAAAAAAGTAGCCAGTTCTGGGAATTGCCAGAATTGTCATTAGGACAATTCCTTGATGATGTGGAACAAAAGGGGTTAATTTTACTAGGAAAAACCTTAGAAGCTTTAGGCATTTGCCTGAGAAATATGTACAACTGTAAATAGAAGGCCTATGAAACCTTTCTTATGGGAAGAAAAAGACCTAGCCTAAGCTGACAATATCTGAGCCTGAGAATTGAGAAGGGAGGAGAGTTGAAGTTAGTAATATAAAGTAAACTTCAGAGAGATTCAAGACTACGTATTAGAATTTTCCTAGCAGAAAGCTTTCCCAGGGAGATAGTAGCCTTTTTCTTTCTCACCCAGGCACACAAGGTCACTTAGCTCAAACCAACCAGCCACCTGCAAGCTGATAAAGATGGTCTAGCTCAAGGGCAATGATCTCTTTGAAGGCAAGAGGAGAGAGTTTGTTTTGTAAAGTGTGAGAGAGCAGAAATCCTTGTGCCCAAGTCAAAGCATCTTCAAAAATTCTTTTTGTAAACTGTTTTATGCTGTTCTTTACTGTTTTATGACTTGATGATGTATGCCTTTGCCAAGTTCTTTGATTGTAAAAAGAAATATATAATCCTGCACTGAAGTAAGTAAATCGCAACAGCATGTCTCAACATTGAGAGTGTCTGTGTGTCACTTTCCTCGCCGTATCCTGATTTCTCCTGTGCCTTTGCCCTGATTTCCTTACGGTCTGAGTGGCTCCCCTGAGCCGGTCCGTAGCATTTAATGACATCTTATTTAAAAATATATGTATCTTTAGAAATATTAGGGATTAAGTCACATGTATACATACATACATATGCATCCCATACAATTTCACTTAGGGGAAGAATACACCATTTTTAATAATTTTACATCAACATGACATTTCACTTCTTTTGTTCATGGTACACCCTGAGAGGTCTACACTAGGGAAGGAAACGTATATAGTCTTTGGAATACAACATTGGGTAAACGTACATGGAACATTGTCTTTGCCCTACTTGCACCCACAGTAATGAGGAATGAAGTGGGTGATTGCGGCGGTCGGCATTCCATCCACCAGGACAGTGAGAACTGCTGATGTCAGCCACTTTAACTCTGCCCACAGCTGGGGACAATCGCCTATGGTAGTTTTTGTGGGTTAGGGGATTCTGGCGTGTCCCCATGTGTGTACCTCTCATCTCTATGTCTTTCATGTGTTCTTTTGTTCTCCTATTCAGGTTTGTTTTTATTTTATCTTTTTTTTTTCATTTTTAAAGATACCTGTTTGTTTTGTACCGAGAGAGCAGGAAAGGATTTGAGAGGATAGGAGGATCTGGGAGGAGTTGGGGAGTGGGAACCACAATCCACATATATTGTATGTTAAAAAA